CCCCTATTGTGACAATGCTGCACTGTTTAACCTGTCCTGTGAGGATGTGTTCATTAACAATGTCTATGGCCTCACTTTCACTGTGCTTTTGTTCACAGGTTCTATCGGTAGCATGGTTCTTACCTATACTAAGATTACTGTGGTGTGTCTAACCACTAAGAACAAGTCCTTGAACAATAAAGCCTTGAAGACCTGCAGCACTCACGTGGTTGTATATCTGATTTTTTTGTTCAGTGGTATGTCCATAATCACTCTGCATCGCTTTCCTGAGTACTCAGGGAGCAGAAAAATTGTTGCTGTTCTGTATCACATCATCCCTGGAAGCCTCAATCCCATCATTTATGGTATGCAATCCAAAGAGATAAAAAAATTTGTATCAAATGTTAAGTTAAAGAAGGTTTTGCCATTATATTAAAGACAATTTTCAGGGTTATTTGAACAGTTTGAAGTGACATATTAATGTTTTTTAAACTGACAGTGTGCAGAGATTTTAACCTGATTGTAACTAGGGCGCCACGATCTTCAGTAAGTTGGACTTGCGCAACGCCTATCATCTGGTGAGAATCCGTGAAGGGGATGCGTGGAAAACGGCCTTCAATACTCACCTGGGCCATTTCGAGTACCCTGTGATGCCGTTCGGCCTGACCGATGTGCTTTTGTCTGCTTAGATGAGATTCTCGTCTTCTCCAAATCTAAAGCGGGACATGAGGTCCATGTAAGGCAGATCCTGCAGCGCCTACTGGACAATAGGCTCTTTGTTAAAGGAGAGAAATGCGACTTCCACATGGATTCAGTGGCATTTGTGGGCTACATCATCACCAGAGGGGATTTGAAACCTGACCCGGCAAAAGTTCAGGCAGTGTTGGACTGGCCCAAACCACCCGATCGCCGGCAGCTTCAGCGCCTTCTGGGGTTTGCTAACTTCTACAGACGTTTCATCAGGGATTTTAGTAAAGTTGCTCTGCCTCTCACTAGGTTAACGTCACCCAAGGTGCCATTCCAATGGGACCTGCTGGCTCAGGAAGTCTTCTCTTGCCTCAAGGAACAGTTCGCCACCGCCCCAATCCTTCGCCAGCCAGACCTCTCCCTGCAGTTCATCGTGGAGGTGGATGCATGAGAGACTGGAGTAGGGGCCGTGATCTCTCAACAGCTCGAGGGTAAGCTCCACCCCTGTGCCTTTTTCTCCCGTCGTCTTTTCCTAGCCGAAAAGAATTATGACATCGGAGACCGCGAACTTCTGGCCGTGAAGCTGGCTCTGGAGCAGTGGAGACACTGGCTGGAGGGGGCCGCACAGCCGTTTATTGTATGGACTGATCATAAAAACCTTGAATACATCTGCTCGGCGAAATGGCTCAACTCA